TATAATAATAATATATACAATAATAATAAATATAATAATAATAAATATAATAAAAATAAATATAACAATAATAAATATAATAATAGTAAATATAATAATAATAAATAAAAAATGCCATGAAATTATATAATTTGTGTCTTTGAAGTTGTGATCAAACAAATAGTTTTACCTGGAACTTCAAAACAGCTTATGAAGTGAAATGGGTGAGTGTTAGTGCAATATTGTTGTGTTCTATGTTCATTGACTATATAAAATATGATTTTGCATGTAAAGGTCGTCTTCCTATTCCACTGTTTTTTCGGAATGATTCAAGCATTGAAATACAGAACAAGAGTATCAAATATCAATTCACAAATCATTTATTCAAAACAAAATCTTCGAACTTTTTACACCAAGGTTTCGGTTTTTAATTAATAATTTAGTTTAATATTTGTTGTGATAAATTTCGTTTTGATTACATTTTGAGTTGTAGGAACAGAATAAATACATTTGATTTATTTTCAGATTGTTTTGATCATATAATCAAAATACATTTGATTTATTTTCAGTTTTGGAATCGTCAAACTTTTCAGTAAAACTAGTACTTTTACTTAAATCTTTAAGAAGGAGCCCCCCCCCCCTCCTTCTCTTATATTCAGGTTGTCCCGACCTAGGATTTGTCTGGAGAATTTCAACTATTCAAATATTTCCCGCCAAAAATTTAGGGGCAATTAGTTAATTTTTTAAAATAATTTGTTTATAATTGCTATAAAACTCGTTATTTGCAAATTATCTGAGAGAGAAAAACCGGGTATATGGGTCCCCTCTGTTCCTGGTGGTTGCCCCTGATCAAGTTATTGAGGGGTCCCGGACCCCCTGGGTGGTAGTCCCCCCCCCTCGCCTGACACGAACCGTTGTGCAATTCTTCACGAAATCGTTTACTACACAGGGACTAATTCTTCAAAGCAAAGATATTTGAGAATGAGATAGACAGATAGATAGATATAGATAGATAGATAGATAGATAGATAGATAGATAGATAGATAGATTTAAATATAGATATTGAGCTGATAGACAGACACACAGATAGATAGATAGATAGATAGATAGATTGATTGATTGATTTATTGATAAAAAGCTAGATATATAGATAGATAGATTTATAGATAGATATTGATATGATGGACAGATATACAGATAGATAGATATATATGTAGAAAATGCCTTAACTCATCCTTTGTCTTATCAGCTCTGTACTCTCTATCTATCCAGATATATACGGTGTATCTATAAAAACGCTACCCTAAAAAAACGCTACCCTAAAAAAACGCTACACTAAAAAAACGCTACACTAAAAAAACGATACATAGGCTATATTCGCTACAAGTTTATTGCCTGTTTCTGTTTGTGTATAAGATTTTAAAATTCACATAGTCGTAAATTGAAAATAAATCATAAGTTTATAATTTAAGAGATATATATTTTTAAATTAATCATATAAGACACATTTAAATAATTCACAGAATGTATGGGTTACATCAGACACATTGAATCAATTTGCAGAGTTTATTAAACATATTGGATAAAGCAGAATTTTGCATTTATCATGAAATCATTTACCTAAATACAAAAATAAAATTCATTGTTGCATGTTTTATAAAGAGTTGGTTCTTTTAACCTTTTTATTGCATGAATACATGGAAATTGTTGTTGAAATGAATTTTTAAAATTTTTATGTATAACCGATTAAGTTGGGTTGTCTTATACTGTGCAATAAATCAATACTAGAGGAGCTACGAGGTCAAAAAATGACATCGTTGATGTCGGATAAATCATACCTTCTCCGTCTGTATAATTTGTAGTGAATACATATCCTTATATATCCTTATTCTTTCAGCTTGAAATGGTGGTTTACTGTACTATGGTTGGTTTGGCAGGAGTATTTACTGTACTGCTCATGTTTACAAACAAGCTTAAAGTACTGTACAAGCTGTGGAAAAGAGGTATTATATTACCCCTAAAAATTATTTCATACAATGGTCTATCAATATTCTGAGGTAAGAACTGTGTTGTGAATCTCAGGATTAAGAATTGATCTCTCCATCTTAAGCAGACATACGGATTAATTTGATTCCTAAAACATATGATAATATAATCATATAAACATATAATCTTTTAATGGTTTTTTCTGATCTGTTAAAGAGAGAAACAAGTTTACAGTTGCATGGAATCATGAATATTAGGAAGCAGTGTCCGAATTTAATGAATTAAAGTCGCGTCTCAAATCTCCCCAAAACAGTTTCAATTGAGCACCGGCTTAAATTTTGAAAAATTAAATACAATTTTAAGTGGAACCAACCATATTTGAGCCACGGCTTGAATTTAAATCGCGGCTCAAATTCTTCAAATTCGGTCTAAGAAAGTTAAAATTCAATGCAGTCATATCTCAAGTCTCATCCTTTGTGGGTAACCCTGTCACTTTAAGGCTAGTAAGTAAGACTATCAATCTTTGTTTAAGTAGTTTCGAGAATATTCAGTTTCAAAGAAATATAGTTTTTAGCGATGAGCGGTAAACAGAAGACATAAAAAAATTAAAATCCCGATTTTTCGTAAACAGTTTAATGTAGCATTATCCAAAATTCAAATATTTTAAAATCTCATCTTTCATGAAATAATTTTTAAATAGTTTCAATGAAAAAGAAAGTTTCTGAAAATTGGCTATTTTCCTTTGAAATATATAAATGCATAGTGTATTATTAAAGTTTGGTATCTTTATATTAAATTTTCCTATCTCACGTCCCGCGTAATATTACAGCTATTTGTCATTTTATATTGTGTAGTCAAGAATCCTGAATTCTAATGAAACGAGAAAAGGAATAGGATTATACGCTGTACAATGGCATACACAAATCTGAGCAACAACTTCTTAAAGGGACCGTTGGTGAAATATACAATTGTGTTTCTCCTTGGACCTTTTATATTAAAGCGGCATTTCTAATTCACAATGGTACCCTTTACATCGATGTCTTATCTAGTGGGAATGGGAGGTTTTCTGCTGCAGGGAGATAATAAAAGAAATTGTCAGCATTTAATCCCTTTTTAGTATAAAAGAACGACAATAGCTTTTTCATTATAACTTTCAAAGTGTGAATATGTTAAACTTCAATTAGAAAATAACAAAGTAAAAAGTGTTTTTTTTATAAATTATCATTTTGTTTAGACAAGATGAAAACTGAAGTTAAAGAGATGACTACAAAGCTAACAAGTTAATAGTTTAGATAATTTTGTTTATTCTTCATGTTATTTTTTTGCATTAATTAATTAATTAATAAAATTAAAATTATATCTGTAAAAGTTTTTGACAAAGCTAATTAAAATGTTGATAAAGGTTTTTATAAAGTAATATCAAATTTTCCGCATACATAGAATATTATTGTTATGTTTATAACCAGAAAACTCTGAAATAAGAAAACGTCTTAAGACTTAAGTTGTAACTTTAAATATTCCAGTAAGCATGGGATGGGACACAGTAATTGTGCATTGTAAACAGACCCATTTTACTTATTTTGTGCGTTTAAGATGTATATATTTGCTAGGTAACAATTATTACTATAATGCGACCTATTTCAGTGTTTTTTATTATCAATAGGGGATTTTACCTTGAGAACCATAAAACTGTGCAATAGGAAGACGACTTTTAAGCAATCATATGTTTTTTGATGATTTTTAAAAGGCAAACACTTCTACCACTTGCTTCAAAATCAACTTATTAAGTTAAATTGTTCTGTGTATGTAATAAATATTGGGAAACACAATATTCTGTAAACCTGCACTACATTGTACATTATTAGCTATCTATGTTTGTAAACTTCTACGCAAAAACCATAATTCATGATTAGTGATTAGTTTAATCATGTGATATATATAATGACGTACAACTTAATTGTGCATATTTCAACTGTGTTGTAAAACCTAATATGATTGCCTTAATCATGTGATATAGATAATGATGTACATCTTAATTGTGCATATTTTAACTGTGCTGTAAAACATAACATGATTTTGCTTCAGGTTCATTGGACTGTACAAAATTATTACTTGAAAAACCCGGAAAATGTTTACTATTTTCTGATATAAAAACGTAACGTGAGTTGCCACAAAAAAATTGGGTTCAATCGGTTCATCCATTTTGACCTTTATTGGATACCAACGATTACAACTAAGGAGAGGATAGAATAACAAAATAATATTGTAATTATATGTTTAAGGAGAGGATAGAATAACAAAATGTTGTTGTATGTATATGTTTAAGGAGAGGATAGAATAACATAATGTTATTGTAAGTATATGTTTAAGGAGAAGATAGAATAACAAAATGTTATTGTAAGTATATGTTTAAGGAGAAGATAGAATAACAAAATAATATTGTAAGTATATGGTTAAGGAGAGGATAATAACATAATGTTATTGTAAGTATATGTTTAAGGAGAAGATAGAATAACAAAATGTTATTGTAAGTATATGTTTAAGGGGAGGATAGAATAACAAAATAATATTGTAAGTATATGGTTAAGGAGAGGATAGAATAACAAAATGTTATTGTAAGTATATGTTTAAGGAGAGGATATAATAACAAAATGTTATTGTAAGTATATGGTTAAGGAGAGGATATAATAACAAAATGTTATTGTAAGTATATATATTAAGGAGAGGATAGAATAACAAAATAATATTGTAAGTATATGGTTAAGGAGAGGATAGAATAACAAAATGTTATTGTAAGTATATGGTTAAGGAGAGGATACAATAACATAATGTTATTGTAAGCATATGTTTAAGGAGAAGATAGAATAACATAATGTTATTGTAAGTATATGGTTAAGGAGAGGATACAATAACATAATGTTATTGTAAGTATATGTTTAAGGAGAGGATAGAATAACATAATGTTATTGTAAGTATATGTTCAAGGAGAGGATATAATAACAAAATAATGTTATTGTAAGTATATATTTAAGGTGGGGATAGAATAACAAAATGTTATTGTACAGTGAAACCCTTAATAACGAATACATCGGAAGAATTTTTCAAATGTCGTCTTGACAATTTTTCAATGAGTTTATACTTTATTACGTAAATTTCAGTATTTGCGAAAATAAATAAATAGCCATGAATATATAGGAACAGTTTTAAAGAGTTCCATATAATCATTTAATTAAAAAAACTAAATATCTGCAACATTCCATTATCAGAAAGTGAAGAATACGACATTTGATGAATTCTTTCGATGTATTTGTTATCAAGGGTTTCACTGTAGGTATATGTTCAAGGAGAGGATAGAATAACAAAATGTTATTGTAAGTATATGTTTAAGGAGGGGATAGAATAACAAAATAATATTGTAAGTATATATTAAGGAGAGGATAGAATAACAAAATATTGTTATTATAAGTATATGTTTAAGGAGGGGATAGAATAACAACATGTTATTGTAAGTATATGTTTAAGTAGAAGATAGAATAACAAAATGTTATTGTAAGTATATGTTTAAGGAGAAGATAGAATAACATAATGTTATTGTAAGTATATGGTTAAGGAGAGGATAATATATGTTCTAGGAGAGGATAGAATAACAAAATGTTATTGTAAGTATATGTTTATGGAGGGGATAGAATAACAAAATGTTATTGTAAGTATATGTGTCAGGAGAGGATAGAATAACAAAATATTGTTATTATAAGTATATGTTTATGGAGGGGATAGAATAACAAAAAAATGTTATTGTAAGTATATGTTTAAGGAGAGTATAGAATAACAAAATGTTATTGTAATTATATGTTTAAGGAGAGGATAGAATAACAAAATGTTATTGTAAGTATATATTAAGGAGAGGATAGAATAACAAAATAATATTGTAAGTATATGGTTAAGGAGAGGATAGAATAACAAAATAATATATGTTTAAGGAGAGGATATAATAACAAAATGTTATTGTAAGTATATGGTTAAGGAGAGGATAGAATAACAAAATAATATTGTAAGTATATGGTTAAGGAGAGGATAGAATAACAAAATAATGTTATTGTAAGTAAATGTTCAAGGAGAGGATACAATAACAAAATGTTATTGCTTTAGGTTGTATAATATTTCCTTACATTTAGTTTCTTATTTACATTCACTAATATTTTCTATCCTTTCCAGGCTTCTGGATGTAATACTAAACATAGTCCCTGTATTTCTTGTCCCCTTACTATTGATTGATTCACATCAATAGTATATAGTGTTACCATTTCAACTGACCTAGAGGGAATCGGTCCTAAATTAATTTCCGACTTAAATGTGTGGTAATAATGGGATTTAAAAGGAGTTAGACGTTGGTTAGATTAAGCTGAATTGGGGAGGCAGAATCAGAACGGTTTAGAGCTAGCTTTAAGAACTATTAAAAAAAAAGTTTTGAAAAATAAACGGTATTTATGTTAAATGACCTGTAGGTCGGACCCCTGTAGGTCGGTTTACATATTATCTATTTACTAATAAAGAATATTTTCCATATTCCCTCTCCTTTGGTGGAATGCATCAAATGATCTGTAATATTTTCATCATTGAGGAAAATAGAGTAATCATCAAATCATCATAATTATCAAAATATCTCCTCTAATTATCAAGGTATCTCTTCTAAGTATAAGATATCTCTGCTAAATATCAAAATATCTCTACTAACTATCAAGATATCTTTGCGTACTATCATGATATCTCTACAAACTATCAAGATATCTCTGCTTACTATCATTATATCTCTACAAACTATTAAGATATCTCTGCTAACTATCAAGATTTTTCTACTAACTATCAATATATTGAATGACTATCAAGATATGTCTATATTTTACTTTATGAAGGACTATAAGAAAACAGGGTTTGCTGCACTCGGAACCTGTAATATTAGTAAACAATTAGTTGCCACGTGCATATTCAGGAAATATAATATACTAGAAATTCAAAGCGCTTCGCGCCCTTCTTTCTAGCCTTAGAGGGCGCTTCGCGCCCATCTTCTAAATTAGTTGTGAACATGTTCTCTTTGTGTACATCGTAAAACAAAACAAAAATAATTCGCGGATTTTCACAAAAAATTTCGCGGATTTTCAAAATTTTTAAAAATTTAATGACGATCGAATTTTGATGGAGACAAATATTTGAAATTTTGATTTTTCATAAACCTTCCCTGGGGTCCTTAGATGTCCCACAAAAAATTTGGGCCCGATCGGTTCAGCTGTTTTGACGTTTATTGGATACAAACAAACAAAAAACAGACAAACAAACAGACAGACAAGCCAAATTTATATATAGATATGCCTAATATGGAAGAAATAATTTTTTTTTTAACATTTTCTCAATGACTGTGGCAAAAAATGTTATTTCATTTTTTCAAACCCTTCCGAATTTTCTTATTTTAAGACTCAATTTAGTTAATTTGGATTTATCTGATAAGAAGTTAATTTTCAAATTTATTATTATTATTTATTTCTAGGACGGTAGCGAGGTTTGTTGATTTTCATTAAGATAATTACCATGAAACAGCCCTAAATTCCGAATCCGCCAAAACTAAGGCAGGACAAATTCCGGAGCCACTTTTCCGAGAAAGAAAAAAATTCGGAGACAATTTGAGGACAGGAAGTCCAATTTCGGAAAATATCTAGATATAAATACAGTAATTTTGGTTCATGCCTTCGGAATCCGGATTGTGTACCTCCGGAATTCGGCTTTTGTAGTTTCGGAATCTGAAGTTTGTACTTTGGGAATCCGGAGTTTGTACTTCCGGAATTCGGCGTTTGTACATTCGGAATTCGGCGTTTGTCCTTTCGGAATCTGAAGTTTGTACTTCCGGAATCCGGAGCTTGTGATTCCGGAATTAAATTTAGGACTTGTCCCGTTGCATATATTTTTTATCTTTACTTAATTCAGTGGTATTAAGTTAAAATGAAATTTTACAATGATAAAGGCAAAATGACGGGAATTCTATGCCGGGTTCATTTATAAATCTTTATTGTACATTACAAGGATTTTAATATGTTTAGGTAGAATTAAAACGCGCACTAATATTTACGTTCATTACTGTTCTTTCGATGTATTCTTTGTGGTGATAATAAGAATTTATCAGATTGTTCACCAAAAAACATAAAGAATAAAATGTAACAACCGTGTTCAGGCCAAGGGCAAAATTTATTAGCCCTCAACTGCAATTGCATATAGGACTTTCCAGTTATAGAGATATTGCAACAGTTCTTGTAAATTGTACGCAATCTTGGCATTAATTTCATGAAATATGGAATTCTATCTTTAATTGGAAACATATATTTTATGCAATCCATTAAATATTTTACTTGAAGTCCACAGCCAAAGATGTAAATAGATTCATTATAGATAGAAAGAAATCTCATATCTTATACAGGGTGTCCCACGAAACATGACAGTTGGTATAAATAGTTTAGAATGTCTTCTTTCATAATTTGATAAGTTTTTTAATACGAAAGACAATAATAAAAATATTATTTAGGAGTCATATCATAGTAACATTAATTTCAAAGTAAAATATACTAGAACAAAAGATTTTTTAAACGAAATAAACTGCAAACAGCCTTTATTATCTAATACAGTGTATGGAAGACGACATTCAAAACTATTTATCAACTGTCATGTTTCGTGGGACACCCTGTATGTATATTTATGACTTTCTAAAATCAAATTGAGAAAGGAAAACTACAGAATCACCCATCATAATTCAATATCTTGATCTACCTTAAAGGACGTGGGTAACATAAATCTTCAGTTTTGATATTGTAACATGCCCAATTGATGGAGATATCTTAGTTATTCTACTTTAAAATTTAAAATCGTGGTTTCTTACAAATCACCCTTGGATTAACGCAGCCAGAGCCATGGAGGGAAATATATCTCTCTTTCAGGTAAAAAACGACGATATCTCCCATATTGTTACTCAAATATTGGTTTAAATATTGATTGATGGGTTAGAAAGTGTATCGGTCTTAAATGCTTTAAGACTAAACA